CAGCTGCCTCTTCAAACTCAAACATTTTTTAACATGCTTTGCAAAACCCCCTTCTCCATAAGCCTGACCCTCAGCAGCTTTTGCAAACTTCCCATCCCTGCAAAGAGAGCACCATCAGCACTGAAAATAGCTCAGCATCCAGTGGGCAAGAGGAGGGGGCAATCACTTGGTTCCCTCCCTGGCCCTTTTGAAAGTCCCCAATTCCGCTAATACATTACAGACAATTTTCTTGGCTTCTCCAGGATCCTACTGATTTTTTTTTGGAAGTGCAAAGCTTAGTGCTTTTTTGTTTTGTTTTGTTTTTTGTTTTTTGTTGTTTTTTTTTTTTTTTGGTGTGGTTTTTTTTTGTTTGGTTTTTTTTTTGTTTTTTTTTTTTTTTTTCTAATAAGTGTATAAATACTTCTCAGTCAGCCCGAAGGACTAATTTTCTCTGTTGCAAGAGGGTGTTGTTAATGCACCGACAAGAATTTGGGCAGCTGCTGCCTGACTTTTGCAACCTCCCTCACAGGGTAGTAAGAACTATTTGTGCCCATGTCCCAGGCTGGTAAACTGAGGCTCTGCTGGAAATTGCTGTGGGTCAAACTGACCTGCCGCTAACCGAGCACACATATGGCTGCACCTATATGGTGATGTACAGACAGCTTCCAGACACTGTTTCCAAACTTTAACCATGCAAAGAGATGTTGGGTGCAGGGTTGGACCACACCACTCCGATCCCACCAGGCATCACGCACACTGTCCCCTCCACGCCACATCCTAAGGAGATGGTCCATGTTGTACTGAACGTAGGCATGAATGTGACTTGTCCTTTGCTTCCAAGTTTCCTTTAGAGGGGAAAGAAAAAAACAGAAAAATTAAAAAGGGGAGGATGAATCATGGCTTAGTCAGAGTTGGGGCTGGCCGGAGCAATCGCTGCCGTTGCCTGCATTTTGATGCTGGGGGAAGGGTGCCGGGGGAGGCTGGCTGGTGGCCCCTTGGTACTGGGAGGTTCTTCCAAAGGGGATGGGGAATTTAGTCCTGGATTGTGATTTTGGGACTCATCCAGAGCCTAATTCCACCATTCAGGGCAGGTTGCTAGGTCAGTTTGATGTTTGAGCAGCAGGGGAACAAAAGGGGGAATTGAGGGAGTTTGGCTTTGGGGTTTCGGTGATGTCCACGGCCTGTAAACCCCGTAAGAGACAGGTGTCCCGTTCTCACAGAAATGTTTGGGGTTTTTTTATCCTATTTTGCCAGATTCTCCTTCTCTGCACTTCCCTCCCCTCTCCTATTCCTCTGGACCTGCCACCTCCATCCCTTGGATGCTCGAGATAATTTTTTCTCCCGTCTACCACCAGGACCTTCAGATTTTGAGCCCCGGCATTATATTTATACCCCTGTACCTTTGCATTCATTAAATCCCTGAAGGTTCCCGCGACTGGGGTAGGTAAAGCAGCACCTCCAGCAAACATTGGGTAATTTATTCCTCCCTCCACATCTTTCATCACCCGGTGAAGCAGAGGACGAGGGGCAGCATCGCTGGCTGCCCCGTGGCACGCTGTGCCTGCCGTGGCTCTCAGCGAGCCGATGCACCTCTCACCGCCAGCATTCAGCCCCCTCGGTGACTTGATTTCTTGAAAAATCGCTGAGCTAAGCACCCCGTGGGCTCCTTTCACAGCAGCTGTGAGCAACAGCTTATTTACTGGTCCGGGCTCTATTTATAGGGAGCTGTGCTTTTGCACGGCACAAGTCGAGAGGGGAAAATAAACCCTCTCGAGAGGGGAAAATAAACCCTCTTGGTGCACCTAGTGCTGTCCTGCCCGCCACCCTATCCCCATGGTGAAAGTGCCTTATAAATAGTAATGAAGCTTCTTCCAGCTGACCTCGCTTGGAGCAGCTGGGTGCTCGTGCCTTTGAAAACCAGGCCATTTATTTAGGAGTTGAAGCTTTCCGCTCCAGTTATTTAGGAGTTTTTAAGCCAAGAATTACTAGGTGGATCTAATTTGAAGTGACTGTGATTTTAATTCAGGCAGGGTTTCGCTTTTGGGCTCCTTTCGGTATTGTGGGGGTGGTGGTTTTTCAAAACGGAGAAAAGGCACGGGGAGCTGAGCTGCTGGAGGAAGGGGGGATGCCCAAACTCCTGGTCCTGTAACATCACGTGAATTTTCTTCCTTCTTGACTTGCGTTTTAGACAGAAAATGAATTTTCATTGCCTTCCATGGGAAAAGGTTCAGGATTTTGGAAAAAAAAAAAAAAACAACAACAAACAAAAAACAACCTCCTGCCCTTTCCTGAGGACGGATTTTGTGCACAGGGAGCACTCCTGTGTCTGACCCCCATCCCCACCTTCGCCGCACAGGGCACTGACTGCTCTCCCCCATCTTCTTTCCACATCCCAAATCTCTGGCTCTTTTCCACCTCCCTCATAGTAGCTTTATTTATTTATTTATTTATTTATTTATTTATTTTTGGCATGTGAATATTATTTTCCTGCATAGGAGAGGGAGGATTGTGTGGTTTTTTTTTTTTTTTTTTTTTTTTTTTTTTTTTTTTACTCTATCCATCTTGGCTCCATGTAAGGAGATAGCCAAAAATATGTTCTGTCTAGATCTGTTATAAAAATATAAAAATATAGGCCTTTGCTTCTAGAGGAGGAAAATGCCCTATATAATAAAAAAAAGGCTACTGAGCACTTTAAGTATCCGAGAAGTTACTTATCAGGCTTTGCCTTTTCAAGCAAAATCTGCTTTATTAAACCCCACCAAAGCAGATATTCCCACATCTACAGCTTTTCCCAGCTATATTTCCCCACCGGAGGGACCCCTCCCACCTCCAGGAGGGATGCTGGGGCTGAGGAGGGGTGCGGGGGGGCGAGCACCCGCACATTTGGGGCTTCAGCATCTCCAAAGCGTTTTTTCTGGGTGGCCCCTGGTGATGTCCCCACACCCCCCGCGCTGCAAATGCCAACTGCTTCAGGTTGTTGTTACTGCTGGGCTGCTGTTCGCAGCGTGATCGAAGGTGAAAAGGTGTCTTGCAGAAACCTGGCCACTTTATAATTATACTAAGCTAATAACATAAATAATAGAATAATTTTAAAAATAAACAAATGAAATAATTAAAATTATAGAACACAAGTTATAGATAATACAATTAATAAATAATAAAAATAATAAGTAATGAAAAGGATAAATAATAAAAATAATTAATAACATTAAAAGAAGACTTGAATAAATATAAGATGGAATAAAATTAATAGAATAATAAATAATGAAAATCAATAATAAAATAATGAAAAAATAAATTACAAAGAACAAAAATACTAAATAGGAACATCCTGAAAAATGGAATAACAATGAATTTTAAAATGAGCTCATGCAAATAAATAATAATAAATATTAAAATTATGAACATCATAAATTCATATAATCATGACCACTGAAAAGCGGACCTTCCCCGGGAGCAGCATCCCCGGCGCTGCCGCCGCTTTTGCCGGGAGGGGCGCGGGGGGGGGGGGGGGGGGGGGGGGGCGCTTGTTAGGAGCCGCCTGCGGGGCGCCCGTCCGGGCGTTCTGCGCGGCCGCGGAGCGGGGCGGAGCGGCGGCCGCGGGCGGAGGCGGAGCCGGCTGGGCCCGGCCCCGCCATGTGCGACGTGAGCGACGTGCCGGAGCGCAGCCCCCGGCCCCCCCGGCCCCCCCGATCCCCCCCCCCGGCCCGCGGAGAGCGCGGCGGCGGCCCCGGCGGGGGGGGGGGCGCAAGGGGCGCGACGCCCCCGGGGCCACTGCAGTTTAGTTAATTTTTAGTTTATTGATTTTTTTGGCTTGTTATTTATTCTTATTAGTTATTGCATTTTACTCTTCGTTTTGATTTCTTATTTTATTTGGGGGGGTTTTATTATATTTTATTTTGATATTTCTAGATTTATTTTAGTTCTTTTAGTTCTTTTTACTTTTTATTATTTTCCTTTTACTCTCTTTATTCTTTTAATTCTTTTTACTCTATTCTTTTAATTATTTTTATTCTTTTTACTATTTTTATTCTTTTAATTCTTTTTATCCTTTTAATTCTTTTCCTCTTTTTCTTCTTTTAATTCTTTTTCATCTTTTAATTCTTTTTCCTCCTTTCCTTCTTTTAATTCTTTCTCTTCTTTTAATTCTTTTCCCTCTTTTTCTTCTTTTAATTCTTTTTCCTCCTTTCCTTCTTTTAATTCTTTCTCTTCTTTTAATGCTTTCCCTCTTTTTCTTCTTTTAATTCCTTTTCCTCCTTTCCTTCTTTTAATTCTTTCTCTTCTTTTAATGCTTTTCCCTCTTTTTCTTCTTTTAATTTTTTCCTCCTTTCCTTCTTTTAATGCTTTTCCCTCTTTTTCTTCTTTTAATTCTTTTCCTTCTCTTAATTATTTCCCTTCTTTTTATTCTTTCATCCACCTATTTTAATTTTTCTATTTTATTCCGAATACATTTTACTTCACTTCTCCCCCACCCCCCCCCCCCCCACCCCCCCCCTTAGCTTGGGGACCTCCTTCATGCACCCCCACCCCTCAAGTCCCTGTGAGGCCCGGTTCCCCCCCCCCCCCCCCAACAGGAGAACAAAGCCTCCCCGGGCTCTGCGGCGCCTCCTTTGTCCCCGCTGCAATGCGGGGGGGCCGGCGGCAGGCGGCAGCGCGGCCCGCACCGCACCCTCCACCCCCCCCCCCCCCCCCCCCCCCAACTACCGCTCCGCCCTCCTCCTCCTCCTCCTCCGCGGCGGCGCAGCGGCCGCCGCCCCCCCCCCCCCCCCCCCCCCCCCCGGAGGGCGGGAGCCGCCGGGCGCCGGCCGGCCTGCCCGCCTAGAAATAGGCGGCTCCGCGGCTGCCGGCTCAGCGTGCGCGGAGCGAGGGGGAGAGGAGCAGCTGCTGCGGCAGCACCGGCACCGCAGCACCAGGAGCCGGGCAGGGCCAGCCCTTCCCCAGCTGCTTCGACTGGAGATTTGCCTCTTTTTTTTTTTTTTTTTTTCCTCCCTTCAAAATTAAAGGGATTTTTTTTTTTTTTAGTTGTTGTTATATAGATATATTTTTTTTTTTTTTTAATAGCAAAATTAGCGGTAGGGCTCGCCGGCGCTCCCTTCGAGCTCTCAGCGGCGGTATTTGCGCCGTTCCTGCCGGCTTTGTGCCCTGAAGCCCCCGTCCCTCCTCTTCCTCCTCCTCCGCCGTAAAGCCTTAACGAGACTCCGCGAAGCATCCGAAAGCCGCTTGTCCAAACCACCCCCCAAAAGCAACGACTGCAACAAAAAAAATCTTTTTTTTTTTTTTTTTTTTTTTTGTATTATCTACATTTCCCCACCCCCCTCTCCTTCCTCTTTTCTTCTCCTCCTTCCCCCTCACCCCTCCCTCCCGCCCCGCAAACGCATCAAGGTGGACGCGGAACGCAAAAAGACCTTTGTTTTAAAAATGCCCATGGAGCTGACGCAAAGCCGCATCCAGAAGATTTGGCTTCCCAATGACAACCGCCCGGCTCTGCCCCGCCGCTGTGAGTACGGGCACCGCAGCATCCCCGCGGGGTGGGATGGGGTGGGATGGGAAGCAGCCCCCCCCCGCCATGCACCCCCGGGGGGGCTCTTTGCAACGCCCCCCCCCCATTATTTTTCAGCATTCTGCTCCCCCTCTTTCCCCTCCTTCAGCATCATCCCCCGTGGCCGCAACCCACCCGCTGCCATCCCGTGACTCGCTTCCAGCGCGGGGAGCTGGAGGAAGGTGTAACCATCACATGGCAGCTCCCCGGCCCCGTGGGGTGGAGGATGCGGAGAGGAGCCGAGATACGCGTGTCCCAATTTCCACCCCCCCACCCCCCCAGCTCCTCCCGCCTCCAGCCCTGGGATTAAAAGGGAAGGGAACAGGTTGCAAACCTCAGCACCCGGGTACCAGCTCAGCTGGGATTTCCAGGATGTTTGGCACCTTGCTCTTGAGATTTATTAGTGATTGATTAATCTATTTTTTTTTTTGGGGGGGGGGGGGGGGGGCGGCGGGGGGGTTGGAGTTAAGATTAGAGCAATGGATTTAGAAAAAAAATCCACCAGCTGTTTGCATTTTACCACTTCACCTTGTGCCGTGCTTGGGATGAGATAGGAGGCAGGTGGAGGGGAGGGCAAAAATTAACGCTGAAACTTTTCAAAGATCAGAAAGCATCTTGAGTGCTTAAAACCAGCCTCCTCACTTATTAAAAAAAAAAAAAAAGGGGGGGGGGCGGGCGGGCAAACACTTGGGTCATCCTGGTGTTACTATAAAACAAATCATGAATCATAATACAATACTAAAGCTTAAGAGGCAGCTCTTTTAACTCGCCCAACAGCTAAACTGACAACCTGCCAGTTGTGCAACTCTGCGTGACTCTAAATAAGCGTCGCAGGAATCCGCAGATCCGGGGCTGCGGGGAGCCAGGACGGAGGAGGTGGCACTTTGCAGCCTGGCAAAGGATGGAAGTGGCTTGGGCAGTTGGGTGAATCAGTCTTTCCAATGCTTTTCTTAAGCAGGCGTTTTTAAAGTCGCTTCGGATATTTATTTACCTTGGCCGGCAAGTTCCCTCTTTTAAAAAAATTAAAAAAAAAAAAAAAATCCTTTGAATTTGCCACATGTTGTTGCCCCGTGGCTATGGGTTAGGCGAGGGATGGCTGGACCCTATCGCAGATGCTTGCACATGCAGCCTGTGCTTGGCAAGGGCAGCTCTGCAGCAGAAGCTGCTGAGGAAATGGCTTTCAGCAACAGGCAGAACATCTGGGTTGCCATGGGGCTTTGCTTTTAGCAGGGTAAAATGTTTCCTGGCTTAATGTTTTGCAGATGTATTGGTTTGGTTTGATTTTTCTCAAGGACTGACACCTTTGAAAGAAATCACTCATGTACGCCAAGCCACCCTGTGCCTTTTGCTGCTTTGATCAACTGGTTTCTTAGAGGAGAGAATCCCCTCCTTGGCAGAGTGGAAAACTAACATACCTTAATATATTAAGGCACGAAGGGGCTCATTAATAGTGTAATGTGGCTTCTAATTATTTTCTGTTGGGGCACCATTCACCATGCTCGATGGGAAGAGCATTCATGGGCTTTTTTTTTTAGGTTTTGTGTTTTTTTTTTTTTTTTTTGTCTTTTTTAAACCCAAGGTGGCTATTTTAAACTCGAGGTGCTATTAATTCCTCAGCAGCAACAAAGAGCAGAGCCACAGAGCCAGGTGGGACTAGAGATGTAACAGAGACGTGAGGCCGATGTTGTCCCTGGGGAGGAGGGAGGGAGTGGGAGCATCCCCAGGAGCATCCTTGGAAAGCTCCCGCCTGGCTGCTCCCTGCGTGTGAAATAATTAGTCTGATTGTCCGCTCCCTCGTCACCGGGAGGCTGGAATGGATGTGAAGTGATGCCTTCATCTGGCCTTTTGACTGCGATCCATTAAATTGCTGTCAAGCTGCACGTCTCTCACGTAGGGGCTGGGAAAGTCAAGTCGTTGCAGGCGGCTGGATGGGCAGAGCCAGGCGAGGGGAGGGGGCTCGGGTGGGGGATGCTGGAGGAGGAAAGGGGCTCCCGTTACCTCTCTCTTGCCCATCGCTCCGGCTTGGTGGACGAGGGTATGTGACAAAAATGACGGCGGGGTGCTAGCAGTTCCACACGTGTGTGAGCGAGGTGCAGCGCAGAAACATGGTCTGGGTGCGTCCGTGAAGGCGTCGGGGAATCGAGATGGGAAGAAGCTGGAAACAGGGAATGTAAGACTAACGTAAGAACATGTGGTGTGGGGGAATGCTGCTTACGAGGAGACAGTAAAAATGCCTGAAACAGAAGTGGCTATTCTATCTAACCTTTCTTTTATAGAAGCAAATTTCCTTCCCTTTTTTTTTTTTTTTTGGTGTGCTTTTTTTTTTTTTTTTTTTTTGTTTCCTTCCACCCACTCCAGTGAAGCATGAGAGTGTACTGACACCAGCTTTCTAGCAGATAGAAGGCACAGGTGACAAGCTACTTCTCAATATCCCGATTGAGCCTTTCAGAAGTCATCCCTGACCTTGACTTACCTGGATAGATGTTGATAATGAGTAATGAATATGCATTGAAATCCCTGATAGCTCTCTAGCAGTGGTGAAAAGAAATTATGAATTAGGTCTTTGTGAAACACTGGGAGCAAAACACTGGTTTCTGTTACATCCCTCATGCACGGTTTCCCGGAGGCTTTTGTGATTTTTTTTTTTTTTTTTTTTTTTTTTTTTTTTAGCTGGATTTGGTCTCAGGTTCCTGATAAAAAGTTGCATGGTTGATGCCCTGGTGTTTTGGGAAGTGCTTCCCGGGTCTGTAAACAGATGCTTTTTCACAGTCCAAGGGGAACGTGGATCTTTCCTTTGGCAGCAAACTGAACTTGGGGGGAGATTTCTCAAATACAGGTGTTTAACTCCTGCAGCACTCTTTGGAGGTGGCATGTGTGTGCCCACACAGCACCAGCCCTGGGAGTGTCTCAGCTGTCTGGAGCCAGAGGGACATGAACAGTACCTGGCATTGTCCCCATCCTCTTGGAATGTTAGTATTTTAGTGGCCCCAAATCCTCTTGGCTCCGCTCTTTGAGAGCCTTTGTCCACTGGCAGGTAGGGAAAGGAGGAGTTTCTTTATTCAGGTATTATTCCTTCCCTTTTCCCTTTATTTAATATGTGGTCGGGTTTTGTGCAAAACAAAAGACTTGCACCCATAGGTTGGTTGAGGATGTGAGGCTGTTAAAGAGGAAAAAAATGTTTTTTTTTTTTTTTTTTCTGGGTACATTGCAGAGCTCCCTTGGTACCCCAGCATGCAAAATCAGCGCTTGCAGCGCTTTTGAAATGCGGCACCAGGGATGCAGGTCACACAAAGGGAGCAAGTGTGAGGGCAGCTTCAGCCTGAGGAATGTGGAATATTTGGGGGGGGGGGGAGGGGGAGGTGTGTGTGCAGAAAGAGGGAAAAACGTTTCAGATAGTTTTCTCATCTCTTGACTGCTGAGTCTGCTTTGGCAAGACAGCCAAGCAGATGATGGGTGGCTCTTCTGTGCCCTTCTGGGTGCCAGCGCCGTAAGTCTTCCTTGTAGCCTTAATTTGGTTTCTTTAGCTGCTGGATTTTATCTTTTTCTTAGAAAGGGAGGGAAGTCCCACGTGCTTTGCATGCTGTCTGGTTATCCCTCAGCTTGCTTGCTCTTCCCAGATCTCCACTGAGAAAAATCTACCCCAACCCACCGTCTCCATCCCCGGGGAGCCTCTTGCATCCCACCGCCTGGTCCCACCTGCGGGCAGCTGGGATGGGCAGGCTGAGCTCTGCACCCAGACTGTAATTAAGCTGCGTTTTTATGGCTCTGCCACCAGCCACTCTCTCCCTGCATTCCTTTCCTGTGAGGTCTCCGGCCTCACTGGGTGGATTGAAGGGGTGGGTGAGAAATCCCCCGGAGGTTCTCGCCTATCGGGGTTGGACTCTGCCTTCGCCGGGAGGGCTCTTGGTGTGTCACGTCAGGCAGCATGAAAGGGCTGGCTAATCCAAATTCCATTAGGCATCGTTAAGATCTTCCTTTCCCCTATTTAAAGCACTTGGCATTGTGCCTTGGCCTTTGGTGTGTGCAGCACCATGTGAGGAGCAATTCTGCAGGGCAAACCCTGGAGAGGGATGCTGCCACGTTACCTGGTCCATGGGGCCTGCGATCCAGATGCATCCTGTGGTGCTGGGACCAGGCTGTGGAAGACTAAAAAAAATTCCCAAACTGCATTCCCAGTCCTGTAACCTCACCAATTTCCTCCAAACTGAACCAGGAATTTATTTTCTAAAGGATTTATGGAGGGAGAAGCGATTCACCTGGGCAGCCCAGCAGCTGGTTTGTCTGCATTTTGGTCTTGCCGTTTGGGTGAATTGGAGAGAAGTTTCTCTTCACTTGCCAAGTCGTCACTAAGTAATGCCTCTGGATTTATTTTCAGCTGTGTGACATGGACCCTCTTTACAGCAACAACAACAGAAAAAACCCAGTTTAAAACAAGTTTAAGAGGAAAAAGGGATAAGTCATTTATATATCTACTTTTAAATGCTTGTGGTTCTGTAGTCCCTGTGCTCTACTTGTCTTCAGAAAAAAAAGTTGGGTGCGTTTGCATGTGTATCAGCTAAAAAGCTAGCAAAAGTTTTTGGAAGATGTTCTGTGGGTGAAGATCTTGGTGCAGACCTGGTATTTCAGCACAGCAGTCATGTCTGAAGTGCAGTGCTGTGGGGCCTGGACCAAAGTCCTTGGCCGTTCTGTAGGTTTTCACCGAATTGGCCAAACTGCGAGTGGGAGGTTGTGTTTGCCTTGACTTTTTTTTTTTTTTTTTTTTTTGGCAAATGGGGAAACTGAGGTACAGAGGTCTGCAGGGAGCTTGGAGCAGCTGCTGGTTCCTTGCCCACCTGGCAGACATCAGGATGTCTTCCTACTGCCCCGGCTGTCAGGCTGTGACTCCCTGTTCCCCGGTTTGGGTGGCACCAGGGTGAATTTGGGTCAGCACGGCTTAGCTGGGGCAGTTGGGTTTCACTGGAAGGCAGCCATGGAGCTGGCCACCGTGTCCCCTGCTCATTCAGCAGGGTCCATTGCAAAAATGTCAGTGGATTTAAGCCTGGTCAAGGTTTTGGTTGTCCAGGCTCATGAGGGATGCACAGGAGATACTGCAGAGCTGATGGTGCACAGGGAGCAGAGGCTTTGGTTTTCCTTCAGCTGAGGGAATGCTGGGTCAAGAGGAAGTCCCTTGCTGGGTTTATACAAGATGAGCTCGAGGATTAACAACTGCTCGTGTTGTTCTTTCTCCTCCTTGTAGCCTGTGGGCCACAGCTTGCCAATTCCCCCACTGTGATAGTGATGGTTGGCCTCCCGGCCCGCGGGAAGACCTACATCTCCAAGAAGCTGACTCGCTACCTCAACTGGATTGGTGTCCCAACAAAAGGTGAGGCTTTCACTGGCTGCCTGGGGAAAGCATGAGGTCTGGTTCTCAGGAGTTGCTCTAGGAGATCAGTGCCTTGCGGGGTGGGAGGTAGTGGGGGAATCTTTCCAAGATCCCATGGGCCAAGTATCCATGTCCTCCCATTGCTTCTGCTGCAGCCCAGATTCTCCTTCACTTTGAAGACCAAGGGATGTCCCCAAGCCTTTTGCTCAAAGGATGTCAATTCTTGGCTCATTGCTAGAAAGCATTATCTGCAGAAAGTGCACAGCTGAGTTGAGCTGTGCTGACTGATGCCTGCTCCTGGTTTTGATGGTCTTTACCTTTCCCACGCAGTTTTCAATGTGGGGGAGTATCGCCGTGAGGCGGTGAGGCATTACAGCTCCTATGATTTCTTCCGCCCTGACAACGAGGAGGCCATGAAAGTCAGGAGGTAAGTGTGGGCGCTGTGCCCGTGCTTGCACTTGGGTCCCAGTTGGGTGGCGAAAGCCCACGGCTGGCAGCACAGTTGCCCAGCTTGTTTGCGGGGTGGTGAACAGAAAAGCGGGGTTCCAGCTTGAATTTTCCCTGTCTGTCCAAGGAGGGCCTGGTTTGGGTGCCAGGAGCTGAAGACTGAAGCTGTATGGGCTTGGTAGCTTCAGGGTCCACCAGCACATCCTCCATCAGTGGTACCCTAAATTCACCTTCAGGGTCCACCAGCACACCCTCCATCAGTGGTACCCTAAATTCACCTTCAGGGTCCACCAGCACATCCTCCATCAGTGGTACCCTAAATTCACCTTCAGGCTCAGCGATGTAGGGTATGAGGTCTGCCATGGGGTTTGGCCTTTGCTTCTTCATCAGCCGTTGCCTCTGCCGTGAAGACCAGCACGCTGCTCTGCACACAGAGCTCTTGTATTTTTGGCAAACTGAGGGTGTCTTTGTAATAAATGTCCCTTGGAGGGAGGGGAGGTGGTGAGGAGGAGCCGCAAAGCCTGCCTGCCTTTGTTGGAGGTCTGGGCACTGGCTGCCACAAGCATCTCTGGGGACATTAGGACCATGTGTCTCTTGCCTCTTTTGCAGGCAATGTGCCCTGGCTGCCCTGAGGGATGTCAAGCTGTACCTGACAGAGGAGGCTGGCCAGATTGCGGTAAGCTCAAGAGATGTGCTCCACGGGCTTTGGCACCAGTCCTGGTCCTGAAGGTGTTCTGCCCTGCACAGTGAGCTCTGCAGTTCCTTCTCTGAGGAAGAGCTCAGTGGAAAACCAGGCAGTCTTGGTGCTAATTGAAATCTTTGCTTTTAAAGGTTTTTGATGCTACCAATACCACGCGGGAGAGGAGAGGGATGATCCTGAATTTTGCCAAAGAAAATGGGTTCAAGGTTGGTACCATCAGGCTGCTGCCTGTATTGCATTGTCCACATTAGTGTGTTGTTGGCGTACCTTTTTTCTCTAGAGTGTTGTCCTCATGATGCTCCCATACAAGGGAGTTTTCACTGCTGGGTTTGATCAAAATGTGAAACTCTTGACTTATTCCTGGTCCCAAGCCCTGGAGAAGGAAAAGATGGGAGGAGGGTGGAGGGAGAACTCTCCTGGTCAAACAGGGAGGGGTTTGGGTTGAGCAAGGAGCTGGTTGAAAATTATAAATCTTATTGCTGCCCTTCAGGTGAGCTTTGCTTTGCTTTGCAGGTGTTCTTCATTGAATCTGTCTGCAATGATCCCACGGTAGTTGCCACCAATGTTATGGTAAGTGTGGAAACATGATTGGGTTTTGTTGTGTTTTTTTTTTTTTTTTTTTTTTTTCCCCCTCTCATGTAGGATTTTCCACCTGCACCTCTCCTGTTTCTTATCAGAACATCTTGCCAAAGTTGGTTGAGGATTAGGAGGTTTTTATCTCTTTATGATGCATTTGTCCTGGGATGAGAAAGGAGCTTTTGTCTCCCAGGACCCAGGGCCACCTGGAAGTAGTGAAAATAAAAGTTGTTGTAGCCTTTCCCCAGCTCCCTTCTATGCTCGTTGTTGACTTGTAACTTGATAGTAAGGACAGAAAGCATTCGGAATTCTTTGGTGACCCCTCAAAGTCCCACTTTTTGGAAGTGGTAGATGTGGTCAGGGGTTTAAATCCCATCAGAGAGCAGTCAGACTTGGTGTCTTCAGCCACATGCAGCTTCCCAAAATCTATTGGGGTCTATTCTGAGAAGCTCAGCTTAGAGGTTTCTTGCCACCATCTGAAGTTTTGGCTGGGAGAGCAGCATAAAACATTACTTCCTGGCTCCTTTGGAAGCTGCTGGATCCTTGATTTCCCACCAGCAGAAGAGCTCCTTTGACTGTTAGGCTTGGCTAGGACAGGTAGTCTACCAGGTCTAATTGGCCTACCTAGGCATGATTAACTTGAACAGAAGTGTCCTTTCCTCCACCGGGCTCTGCTCCAGCCTTATCTCCAGTTGTACATCTGAACTTTGTGAGCCATTTTATGGTGTCTGAGAATGTGTTGCAGGATACCCAAAGTCTGTGAAAAGGTTTTTTTCTTCTGCCCTTAGGATGGGCTCCACAAAGGGTGCTGAGGTCAGGGCTAGAGCGTGGCTTTTGCTCCTGCTGGGAGCTGGTGTCCCGTGGCCAGTGACCAGCTTTTTGGGAGGTTGCACACAGCCTTTTGCATGATGCTAATGAAATGCTTGTTTTTTTCTTTTATTTTTCCCCCCCTCTTTTTTTTTTTTTTTTTTTTCTTTTCCCCTCTTTGTAACACCCAGAAGCTGGATGTTTTTGGAGGATTTAATCCCTTTCTTTGGAAACTAATAACTTGAAGGGGGAGAAAATGAGCTACTAACTGAGCGTAGGTTTTTGCTCCATGGGGTGCTGCAGATGAATGGTGCTCTTAGTGCTGGGATCAGTGCGGAAAATACCCTGCGGGCCTGGGGCGCATCTACACGCGTCGCTCAGTTGTGTTATCCTGCTGGCTTCGGGATTGCTTGTCAAGTTACTAATGTGTGACGCTGCCACTCAAACCCAAATCTTCAGTAAAACCCGTGTGTCAGAGTAGTTCAGGCAGAACTTAGTCCGTGAGAGTTCTGAATATTCATGTTGCCCATTTCTAGCGTCTTTCAGCCCAGTAACTTGTAGCAAATAATGCACAGAAAGGGGTTGAGTGTTGTTATCCTGCTACCTCAGGTGGTGGATAGCCAGGTTGACCTCTATCTCCAGGGAGCTTTATTTACTCAAAAGGCCTGGGATAAGCATCTTATCTAAGTGCATGCAGTCTCCATTCTCAGCTTGAATTGTTTAAACATGATGGTTTTCTTTAGCTGTAAGGAAGCTCAGTTTTCCCACTGTGGGTGGTGGGGTGCTACCACAACTCTTGGGAGAACTGGACTGATGCATCTATACCAGTCATGCAATGGTTTATACCAGACTTTCTCACCTTGTGCTTAGCTTTGGGTCTAGTTTGCTCCTCTTCTGTCCTGTGATAATTGATGACTATAAAGTGGCTCAGCTGATAGCTGGATCTTGGCAGGGCTCTGGAATTTGAGATGAGTATGGTCTGGCTTGGAAAGCTTCCTAACCTCTTCTTGAGGCATGTTGTTTCCCCTGTTGCAGGAAGTAAAATTGTCCAGCCCTGATTACCGGGACTGTAATTCAACCGATGCCATGGAAGACTTCATGAAGAGGATCAATTGTTACCAAGCCAGCTACCAGCCACTTGACCCTGATAACTATGACCGGTAAGAGACACTGCTAATTTCTGAACTGGATTGAATGCCTTTCTTCTCCCGGGAGAGGATTAATGAAGTATGGGGCTGTATTTCACTTTGTCTTCAAAAACATGACTGTGCTAGCATAATGTATGGCCAAGCCGCATCGTGAATTTGGCTTCTTCCTTGAAAATGCTGGGTTTCCCCAGCCCTGAGCTAGGGAGCCTGGCACTGAAACCTTCCCAGGTTCTTCTTGGATCAGATATGCTGGTTCTGCAGGTCTAAATGCAAAGGTTTGGGAAAAGCAGTTTGGTTTGAGTGTCTGAGGTGCTTTTGTCAGTTAAAGAAAGGGACTGCTTGAACAGGCTTAAACCACAAGGTTGAACAAGCCTTGTGGTTTCCACCTACTTGTGTGCCCTGGAAAGACCTTTGCTGTCCTGCACGACCATGCAGACACCTCCCTGCCTTTCCACTGCTCACAAATACATCTGTGTGCCCTGTGCGGATAATCCCAGTCCTGCTGAGCCCTGTCCTGGGGAGGAACGTGCTCCCTGCTAGTCTTGTTTAATCCTCTTTGCTGCAAGGAGGAATGGCGATTACACTGGTGTTACTTAGCTCTCCATGGATTGCCATTACCTGTTGGCTTCCTGTTGAAAATAGCCTGCAGGAAATCCTTTTAGCTGGGTGATTCTGTTGACTGAGATACCCCATCCTTGGAAAAACAGCCTTGTGAGTTTTCCTCTTTCCCCACTGGCAACCCCCTCATCCTTGCTGTGCTTTTCCTAGGGAGCTTTCTCTCATCAAAGTCATCGATGTTGGCCGGCGGTTCCTGGTCAACAGGGTTCAGGATCACATCCAGAGCAGGATTGTTTACTACCTGATGAACATCCATGTCCAGCCCCGCACCATTTACCTCTGTCGGCATGGCGAGAGCGAGTTCAACCTCAAGGGGAAGATTGGAGGTGACTCAGGCCTCTCCAACAGGGGCAAGAAGGTAAGGGGGAAGGGAATATACCCCTATGGCTTCTAGGAGTGATTTGGTTGTAGCAGATACTGTGCAATGGGTTAAGTGTATATTTGATGACAGCTGGGATGCTCAGAGGATCCATCTATAGGGCTGGTTAAACTTAGGCTTGGGCATGGCCTCAAAACAAGACTTTCCAGCCATTGATATTCCATGTAGGCTTGCATGTAGTTAGGGCTTAACAGAAGTTGGCCTGCAGAAGTCTCCAGGAGAGAAGGGTATGAGCATCTTCATGGAGTTGGTTCAGACCTTGCACAGGCAGAGCGGGATGTAGAAGGTCTGCTGCCACCCTTCGGTAGGGATAGCAAACTCCGAGGGTGCCTTCAGATTGCTCACTACTCTATTCTTCAAAGACATTATCAAGCACACTGCTTCAGGGAGGGTTGATACCTGTTTTGGCTTGCCAGACCATTTTGAAGTCCAAGAGGAGTCATTTGAGGTGTGCCTATTATCAGGGACTACAGGACGCATCGATTTAGCTCCATGACAAATAAGCAGGGCTGTGGTTAAGGGTGGCCAGGGATCCTTCCACAGTATTGTAGGAGACTGCAGGTTGTCGTGCTGTTTCTTGGATGCTAATGTTGTTCCTTGATGACATTAGGTTGCCGCTTTCTCCTCTGTTGTTCTGTCCTCATACCTCCCTATAGCTTTTGGGGAATCAGTGCATGTGTGGCTGCTCTTCACCTTGGATTAGAAGACTTAATACATCTGCTTATGGAAGGCAAAAGAGGTCCTGGAGAAGGCAGCATTTATTGGGAAGCAGGGAAGAAGGCCAGTTGGGAAGCTGTGGATCAGGAATCAACCTTTTTTTTTATGTTCCACAGTTTGCATTGGCACTGAACAAATTTGTTGAGGAGCAGAACCTGAAGGACCTCAAAGTTTGGACCAGCCAGCTGAAGAGGACAATCCAAACGGCAGAAGCTCTCCAACTGCCCTATGAGCAGTGGAAGGCACTCAATGAAATAGATGCAGTAAGTATCTTTGATTGCGGTAGGAACAGCTTGTTCATGCTGATTGCTGCTTGGCAGAGAGGGTGATAGCACCAGCCTTTTCACTTTTGCCCGAGTCTTGCCTTTTGTGAGGAGATTTTCCTTCTGTGGGAAAGGGTGGTACTTCTGCTGCAGTACTCACAATTTGGCTTCTGATTGTAGCTCTACCTTGTGCAGACACTTCAAGATGTTGGCTTGAGTCAATAGATTAAAATGATTTTTGCTTGGAAATGCTCTGTAGCTGGCCTCTTAGAGGGTTATAGACGATTGCTTTGGAGAAGGTTTTGCATGTTGGATGTGCTGATACTTTTTGACTTGAGCGTGTCCAGTAACTTAATGGATGTCCTATTCTGGCAGGGTGTATGTGAAGAAATGACGTATGAAGAAATCAGGGAGCAGCATCCAGAGGAGTTTGCTTTACGTGATCAGGATAAATATTACTACCGCTATCCTTCTGGAGAGGTAGGTCTGCAAGGAGACCTTCAGAGATGAAATTCTTACTTCTTGTCTTCATTCTATCTTCTACACTCAGCAGGGGAGCAGCAAGTGCTCCAAGAAACTAGAATCAAGGAAGGTCAGGCCTCGTATTTACCTTTTGCATTGAGCTCTTGTTAAATTGTGGTATGTAAAGATCTCACTAAGGAACGGATCACTTAACAGTCCCACTGACTATAGCAAATTAGTAGGAAGGGGGCACTGGGGGTTTCTAGTCCAGCGTCCTCCATTACATCCACTCAGAGTTGTGCTGCCCCAATCTTTTTCTTTCATTTCTAAAGTAAATTTCTACCCCTGTTCTCCGTATCATTCCCTAAGGGTTGATGTTGACATCTTTCTTTCCTGGCAATCTGCTTTCAGGGTGTGACACAATGAGGTGGGAATTGACCTCAGTTCTAGGTGATACTTTAGGTTGTGGTTTGGGCGTTTTATCCCCAAATTAAGGGTCATGGCCTTAGACATTTGGGAAAAGTAAACCTTTGGAGACATCCTAATTACAACATGTATAACAGCAGGAGAAGATTTGGGGATGTCTGATACTGACTCTGAGTGTCTGGGTTTCCTTCTGGCTGCCTGTCATGGTTCTTCATGAAGTCCTTCAAAACCCTGGAGATTTTCAGGATGCTCCAGACTTTTAATAGCTTGGAAATACTGTGGCAAATCAAATTTCAAGATGATGGAGAGACATTATGCTCAAAGCCCCTGTCCAGTTGTTGCTTACCTTAATAAACTCTTCAGGACTGTAACTGAGATGTGAATGGCTGCTTTCTCCTGACCAGAAGAATTAGCCAAGTTCTAGAGTAGCCTGAAGATGAGGATTTGTTGAACTTTGCCTGTTTTTAGCAGTATTTATGTTGGTTTAGTCAGAGGCATGAAATCAATAGATGTACCAAGACAAGAACAATTGTTTCTTGTGTGGTGCTCATACTCTTGATTCTATGCCATATCTCCTTTCCCTTCTCTGTCTCAGTCCTACCAAGATCTGGTGCAGCGCCTAGAACCAGTCATCATGGAGCTGGAGAGACAAGAGAATGTTCTTGTGATCTGTCACCAGGCTGTCATGCGCTGTCTCCTGGCATACTTTCTGGACAAGAGTGCAGGTGAGCTCCTCGTCCCTGGGAAGAGGATTGATTGTGGTGGAGGTGGGATGAGAGATGGAGCTCTGAGGAGACGAGAGATGTGTGCAGGTCCATGCACGTTTTGGAGCATGCATCGCTTTTTGGTGTGGGATGAGCTTAGCTGTTGATGAAGATGTCTAAGTCTGCTTTTGGACAGGGGATGGGATAACGCTCCCGATTTAATTTCTCTTCAGATGAAATGCCCTACCTGAAGTGTCCCCTTCATACAGTGTTGAAGCTGACTCCGGTGGCCTATGGTAAGTGAGGCCTTTCTAGTAAACATGAGAAGAGGTTCGACCTATAGCTCCTCCTGAATCCCAGCTGCTTCTGGGAGAAGAGCAGGGGTCTGAGGTGGGGCACTTTGTGGTGTCCTTTGCCCATTGGGTTTGCTGATGGTCTCTCTGTCTCCTTGTGCTCCCCTCTGCAGGCTGCCGGGTGGAGTCCATCTCGCTGAACATTGAAGCTGTCAACACCCACAGGGAACGACCAGAGGTGAGTGTTACTACTTCTCAGAGCCATCCTTTGGTGTCCCCCTCCTTTCTGCTATGGCCAGCTAGCAGTGAGGGTGCCCGGGGTGGGCATGGGGAGATTGCTCAGCTGAATGCTCAGAAGTGCTGCTGGAGGACCGGAGCATCAGTTGGGTTCTTGCTCTGCAAAGATGTGGCTGGTTGAGGGTTTTCCAAAGGAAAAGGACTGTTGCATGTGCCTGCTTTCCAATGTGTATGCCCAGATTAGAGCTGGCCCAGGGGAAGGTCCTCCCTGGTCTTAGACTTTTACCTGGGCAATCATGCACTTGCCTGAGCAGGGAATGGAGCCACAGATGGAGAAGGTGACTTCTCCTAGGTCTCCCAGCTGGCTGGCAGAGCCTGGGCTCAATGCCTTGCCCAACATCTCCTGCCTTTGTTTTTTTCCCTGGCATGCCCACGGCTCTGTGGGGCTACCAGAGTGCCGTTCTGTAGGGTGGGGGGTGGCGCCGCTGGGCTGGGGGATGCTGCGGGCAGGAGACCCCTCCTGTGGAGGAAAACTCCTGTGAGGTCAGATCGATCTGCCACATGGTTCACTGGGGGAGCTCAGTGGGGTCAGAGCAGGGGGATGCCAGCTTGGTGTCAGGGCTGGGTGACCACCCAAGGGGGGAACCCCAGGGACTGTGGCACTGCCCATGTCCTGGCTGTTGGGACCTTTCCAACTTGCTTTTAGCAGTGATGGAGCCCAACTTGGATGTTGGACAGTCAGAGCCGTTCCCCCTTTTGGCCCGCATCTCCTTTCCTTCGCTTCCCAACCTTGGCAAGTGGCAACATCTGAGCTGCCTCTCCCTCCCCGTGGCTGTAGAGGGGGAAGCTGGTCCTTCCCGCTGCCGTAGGGGCCATCGATGCCCTCCTCCACCACCCTCGCTGGGGATGGCAGGAGGACCACGCGCTGCGGGTAGGACAGAGCGAGACACGTGCGAAGCGCTGGGGTCCCTCTGCTCGGCTGCGTGGGCGCTGCCCCTCCATCCCACCTCGCTTGAGTTGGAGCTTGGCGCGATGCCGACCCTCGCTGGCTGCTCTGCCCCCACTTCCCAAATCTTTCTTATCAGCCTGGGCTGGCTCGTCTTCCCTCTTCTTGCTTTACACTCCTCCCTGGGTCGGAGGGACCAGCTTTTGAGGAGGATGGGCACCTCTCTCTGTCATGCAAAGTCATGGCTTTTGATTACTGATAATTTTTTTTTTTTTTTTTTTTTTTTACTTGTGAGCAGAGGCTCAGGTGAGGAGAGAGTCTGTCTCATGTTTGAGTGCGGGGCCTTTTTGTTTTATCTTCTTAAGAAATCACACTGTGTTCTTAAGCATTTTGCATTAGGGTTTTTTTGGTTTTTCAGAGCCTTTCAGTTTACCCTTTGCACATTGACAGTGATTGTGGGAAAAAGCAGAGACCGCTTTGAGGAAAAAAAAAAACCCAAAACAACCTGCTTCTTTTTTTTCCTTTATAACTGTCGCCTTCTTCCCTTTTATTTTATTTTTTTATTTACTTTTTTTTTCTTTGTCTCACTTTAATTTAGGAAGCAAAGAAGGGACCTAACCCGCTCATGAGACGTAATAGCGTTACCCCTCTAGCAAGCCCAGAGCCCACCAAAAAACCTCGCATCAACAGCTTTGAGGAGCATGTGGCTGTTTCTTCCACCCTGCCAGTCTGTGTTCCTCAGGAAGTGCCCACGCAGCTGCCGGGACAAGTTAGTTGAACTTTTTTTTTTTTGTTTTGTTTCTGGTTTTCTTTTTTTTTTGTTGTTGTTGTTATTCTTGTTGTTTTATTGTTTGTTGTCCTCCTGTCGCTCCTGAAGCTGGGAAATGGCTTGCACTTGTCGCAACCTTTGCTGCTGTCTGAGATGCATCTTTCTGCCATGGCTGCTGTCCCTCCCTGCCTTGGGTTGGTTTTGGGAGCAGCTGGCGAAGGCTCACTGTCGATCCTCTCTTGGGTTTTGAGTGTCATAAACCTCCTCAAAGCTCTAGGCTGCATTAATTCAGTGCCTTCACCATCTGTCATTGTGGTGTCAACCTCCCGAGGAGCTGCATCTCTAGAGCGGACAGGACCCAAGGGCTGGTGCCTTCCTCCAGATGCGCTTGGCTCTGGTGTAGATCTGGGCATTGCAATAAAGCAAAAGTTCTTGTGCTTTCCTTGATGAGGAGCTGCCAGGACTTACCTTTGACTGGAGGAGCCTCCTCCTTCCTGAGGCAATAGGCAAAACAGACCAAAAATGTATAGAAGCCTCATGGCATGGTGAACCCAGTTGCCTTCTGCAGCCTTGGGTAAAACCCTGTGGGTAGCTGCTGTGATGCTCGTGTCCTTTCTTCTTTTACCCACCCATGAAGGGACGTAGAGAGACCTTACTTGCTGCACACTTCTCCAGGAACAAACTCCCCCCCACCTCCCTGTGCTTGCTGAGGAGCTGGGGTGGTTCTGGAGGAGCAGCATGGATATATAGGAGCCCATTCTCCATGCTGCCCTTCTCCCCAACTGCCTGTTGGATCTTGCTATCTTTCCCAGCCCCTCTTTGCGTTGCCTGTGTTTCGTGGTATCCTCTAGCCCCTCCTCGGCCAGATCCTGGACAGGTTAGGAAGGGTGCCATGCCTCTCCAACAGCTCTGCTTGGTGGCCACTTCGCATGAGCCTTCTCACCCCAGCAAGCACCAAGTTGGGGCAGTTCGGTCTGTCTCTCGGCTTTCGGGGCTCTGCTTGGGCTGGTTGAGTCTTACAGCATGCCCTTTGCCAGCTTTGGGTTTGGAAGCTCTCGCTGTCGCCCGGTGTTCTCTGCCCGGTCCCGTGTGGCGTTACTGACACCTCTCTCCGTTCTCTCTGTCTCTCTGCAGCCTTTACTAGGGAAGGCATGCCTGTAAGTACTTTCTTGCGTCTTATTTCCCCTTCCACCCCTTTTCCATGTCTCTTGCCATCCCACCGGTTGTTTTGTTGTTGCTGTGAAACCTGGCCGGGCCTTGGACTTCTTGGAGTTAATATTTCTGTATGTGTGTGGGGGGGATTTGCACATATCTTAGAAAAGGTAAAGAAGAGACTATAGATGCTTCTTTGTCTATCCCTTAAGTATCCTAGCTTGAATAAATGTCCCAATTTTGTTGAGTAATGAAGCAAATAATTATCACTTGACCTCTCCTGACGATGTCTAAATTGCCACTCTCCTCCTTGGACAGTCACAGATGCTGTTGTGTTTTCCTGGAGTTCTCTTCTGTGATAGCACATTGTAGGTGATTACCTCAGGTGGTCTCTCTTTCCCGAGGTCACTGAATTGCATCTAAGTGGTGGCACCAGAGAGATAACCGAGGAGGTTCTGACCTTGGCCCCCAATGGGTTTTACTGCCTATGTTGGAACAGGAGTGTGTGTTCTGCAGCTGAAGTGATCCTAGGTCCTGGCATCTGCAGTTCTGCAAATCTGGATTTTGGGAATAGTCTGCCTAGATGTCTTGGGCAGAGTAGATGCAAGGATATTGTCCTCCTCTACCTCTATTAAGAAAGCAAGATCCCTTGAGCATCTAATACACTAATTATGAATAATCAAGGCTTTGACAGTTTGGCTTAGTGCTGGTAGGTCCTTGTGTAATAGAGACAGGATAGCTTCTGGACAAATTTGAAGCCTTTGGACTAAATTTATGCTACGTCATTGAGTTGAGAGCAGCAGTCACTGAGCTGTGCTCAAATGTCTCTTCAAAGACCAAGGAGACTTTGTGGCTGAGGTGAGGCTGGGGTAGTGCTCAGGGGTCTTTTTGCCCTCTATAGACCAGTTTGAATCAGCCTATGCGTGTCTCTGTCCTGGTTCATTTTGTGGGCTGAAGATGGAGGGATTTGCTATAAAACGGCTGGGCCAGAACTCAGCCCTGTTTGCACATAACAGCTGGTGAACCTCATGTTTTTTCCCCTTTTAGAGTAGATGCTTTTGAGAAAAGGGAAGTTAGGAAGGTCAGACTTGTCTTTGCTGGCTGGTGGGTTGGGGAAGATCATCACACTTGTGCTTCTTGGCGAACGTAGAGGCCGAGTTGCTCGGCATGGACTGCATGTCTATGATCCTTCCCTTGCTGCTCATGGGCACAAAAGCCCCTGATAAAGTACCTAGTCTTATTGGGTTGCTTTGAAAGCATTTTTGTTTCTTTATCCATCCCTCCATCCACCTTTTCCTCACCCCTGTTGTAGAAAAAAAATCACTGCACGCCTCAGTGCTGGCTGAGACATTGAAAACATGCTCTAATGTTAAGTTTGTGATATGGCTGCATCAGATTTTGCTAGACCAAGAGCTCTGCTGGAGCAGGCAGTGATGGTTACTCATCCCAGTTGTAGGCTGGCAGCAGCAAGTTTAAAATCTCCAGCTGCTGGGAACCTGTCTCCACCTACTAATGTGGGACTCAGAGCCTACTTCTGAGGAAGCCATGAAGACACCCCAAACAAAAGGCTTGGTGGCACTCACACTGCTGATACCTCTCTCTGGAGGCTGTTGTCTCGTACATACGTGCGTCTGGTCCCTCACCGTGTCCCATCACAACCTGTATGGGGTCAGGGGGAGGTGGAAGGTACCTCCTTCCCAATTTATACTATGGGGCTTGGTTGGCAGTGGGTGCTTTGGATCAGCCTTCACTGTTGAGGTCTTGACTCCCATCCAGGAGAACCAGGGGACACCTGGAGAGGCTGAGGACATGGCTGTGTACTTGACAGTCCTCCTGGCTGTGGGATCAAGTTGGTTTGGGGTCACGGGACTGCCTGGTGTGATGATTTCTTTTCCTTTTGCTTGGTTTGTGATCCAAAGTGCACTTTTTAACAACGACCTGATCCCCCCCTCCCTTCTTCTCCCCTTCACTTTTCATGCTTAAAGACGACCTGTTTGTCACTTTCTCAAAGTTTTCTCTTTACTAATATTTCCAAGGTAAATGGCTGTGGTGCATGTGGCTCTTCCTAACCCTCCTCCTGTCTCCTTAGCTAACAGAGAGAACAGCTCAGCCTGCTCTGCCTTGTAGTGTGGCCAGGATTCCTGGTGCTTGTAAGAGGCAGTTTAGGTAGTAAAAGCAAAAAAAAAAAAACCTAAGAAACCTTCCTAGCTGTTTCCTAGTCCTTATTTCCCCACCTTGTTTTGTGTAGTTTTGTGAATTGGGAAATGTCCTTGTTGTGATCATCTCCCCTTGGGTTTCTCCTCTAGTAGACACTCTCCTCCAGCCACTGCCCTCGGGGCTGGTCCTGCCTGTGTTTAGCTGGTTGTCTCTGGTTTTGTGGGTTCCTGTTGCTGCCACCCCGCACCAGGGCTGTGCCCAAAGCAGCTCTAGGGCCTGTGAAACCTCATGGGGTGGCATCGGGGGAGTGGGTGCTCCTGTTGTGCTGGTCCCCATGCTGGCTCCTTGCTGTAGTCAGCAGAAGCTGCATCTTCTTGGCAGTGCCAAGGGTGGACAAATGGTCACCTCCTTGGTGGGCGGGGGTGGGGGGGGACGGGGACACTGCCCACCCTCAAGGGGAGCAAGAGTTGTTTAGTTGGGTTCCTTGAATGAACACAACGTGGTCCCCCATCACCTTGTCTTGCACAGACCGAAGAACAGCTTCAGAATTGCAGACTGGATGGGGTGGGAGGGTTGCCTTGTGTTTTAGGAATGTCTCTGCCAAATTCTCACCCTGTAGTTAAAGCCAGGTGATGCTTGAGTGTGGGTAGCAAGTCAGGACATCCCCCACCACCTCTCTCCTTGGGTGGACAGTGTCCTCTCCTCTGTGGTGGATGCTTTCGTAGTGACCCGTGCCGTGGCTTTCTGTTACTCCCCCGTCCCGTCCCGTCCCCTTGTTGATGCGCATGTAGAAGATGCTGCCAGGACGGGTCCAACCCATGTGCCATCCCCAACCGTGGTCCTTCCCCTCTCGTTGCAGAACATGAACAACTCGCAGAAGCCGTCGTGACTCCGTTGCTGCTGTCGCGACGCCACTGGCGACGCCGGCTTCCCATCATCCCATTGCCATTCCCGACGCTTGCTTATAAAAAACGGTCTCCGCTTGCGGCGAGGTCGACCCTCGGCTGTTTCTACCTGTGCCAGTTCATCTGCAAACCGCTCTGCTGAAGGGGAGAGAGATGCAGGAGAGCGGAGGAGAGGAGCCGAGCTCCCCAGGGTCATCACCAGGCCTTTAGGCTGCAGCATTTGCTCTCCTCTCCGGCGTCCTGTTAGATCGTAGCAAGCTGTAAAGTGCTTCTAGCGCACAGGAGTTTTAATTTTCCTCTGTAAGCGGTTTTGATCTCCTTTTGTATAGATGATTGATACCCATCTGTCTCTGGGTGGGGTGTATATATGTGGATGGTGCGGGGTTAGCAGGGAAATAGGGGGAAAGGGGTGGGGAGCGAAGGGGTTTTGCGTTTCTTTTTTTATTATTATTACTATTAATGACTTTTCAAGAAAGCCCCTAACGCTCTGTGCTGCAGTCATTTACCCACGCTACAGCCTGTTTGCCCACTCAAAGCCTGGCTCAGCCAGGCCTGCGAGCACGAGGAAGGCAGTTAGTTGTGTGAAGTCCTTCACTGCAGGAACTGCTGGGTTTAACAAAAGAAAACAACAAACAAAAAAAAGGAAATTTTTTTTTTTTTTTTTTTTTTTGAATAAATACACCTTAAAAGGGTTTTGCAGAGAGTATAGATCGGCTTCTAAAGCCAGTTGTGAGCTGCCTGTAGTGTAAGGGGAGCCAGCTCAGGTGATGCTTTCATCTCGGGGAGCACCCAGGGATGCTCTGAGTTCAGGCGAGTGCCGATTTTTTTTTTTTTTTTTTTTTTTTTTTTTTTTTTTGTAGGGGGGGTGGGGAGATGGGGAGAGGCTGAGCACTGTTTGCGGTGCTGTGCTGGTAATTCATCTCCCCTTTCCTCTGCCTTAGAGGAAAGTGGAGATTTGGCGGCGGGGGGGGGGGGGTTGGTTTGAGTCCCTGCGTCGTTGCAGGTGGACAGCCTGAGCTAGATGAATTTTGCAGACACACAGGTCTCATGGAGGTGGCCAGAGATCTGGCAGGGATGCAGGAGTCCCTGTGTGGCTGCAAAAGTCACAAAAAGGGACAGTTTTGTCTGTGTTCTCTTTTTTTTTTTATTTAATATATATACGCACACATATATATATATGTGTGCATATATATGTGTATACCTAGAAACCGCTTGGTTTTTGCACTTTATTTGTGGCAGGAGCATAACTTTTTTTTTTTTTTTTTTTTTGTCATGCCCCTTAACAGGGGAAGCCTGAATACAGGCAACTTTTTTTTTTTCTTCATTTTGCATGCTGGAGAGCTGGTACTACCAAAAAGATAGTAGTTACAGCATTCAAGGTGTGTGCACGTGTGTGTGGGGAAATGGAGCAAGGTCCTGACAGACTCCATCAGCTATCTCCCAGTGCTCTGATCTGCGAGATCACTTCTTGGCAGCCTGTCCCAGGTTGCAAGACAGGTTAAAAATGGCAATTAACCACTATTGCGTTGTGCAAAAGTCTGTGGATTTTTAATTTTAATTTTTTGTTTGGGGGTTTGTTTTTGCGTGTGTGTCTTTGTTTTTGTTTCTTTGTTTTTTGTTTTTTGTTTTTTTTTTTTTCTTCTTCTATGTGCAGCACCTTCTCCATCCCCATCTCATGCTTTTTTGGCTGCACAGCTGAGCTGGAGCCAGAAGGTGAAGGCAGCCAAGCCCCCCTCCTGCAGCTTTGGGCTTGGGGATTCCAATCCCAGCCCATGGGCATGGACAGCCCTTTGGTTTCATCTTTCCCATGGCATTCCCCAGCCCCTTAGGTAGGAAACAACATCCCTACAAATGGGAACAGAGGTTTGGGGGAAAATTATAATTTTTTTTTTGTGTGTGTGTGTGTGTGTTTGTATGTTTTGTGGGGGTTTGGTCTTGTTTTTCCTTTGGGAAAAGGTGAACCACAGTGCCTAGTGCTTCAGCCTTGTGCAGCCAAAGCGTGTGCTCGAAGCAGCACCAATGGTGGGAGGGGACCGGGGCCGCGCTCGGTCTGTATCCGACCGGGGGAGATGGTCTCAGCAGTGCCCTGCCTGTGTGAGCTTGTGCATATGTGTATTATATTCCTGTACAGACGAAACAAAGAACACTTTCCCCTCCACCTCCTTTTTTTTTTTTTTTTTTTTTTTTTTTAACAACTGCATTAAAAGCAGAATTCTCACTGTGTGCGCGGTTGATGGTTTGCTCTTTTGGTTTCTCTGACTTTGAGAACAACGAATGTTTTGGGAAGACGAGCCACTTGCCTTTTTGGCCTGCTTCCTAGGGAGTTTTATCTTTTGCCTCCTGCTACAAAAAGATAAGCCGGCAAATACAAACATGACGTCTGGCTGCCCCTGTGATCAGTCCTGTAAACATGTAATTTCACAGATGTTTTGGCGTGTATTTGTGTGTATATACATATATATATATAAATATATATATAAAAAAAATCAAACAGCAAAAAAAAAACTCATTGACGCTAAACTTTCTTCCTTGGGGAATAATGGAAGTCTTGGTAGGTCTACAAAAAGATGAGCTTTGAACCTGGCATCTTTTCCAGCAAGGGGAAAATTGGTCTCTGAGCAGCAGAAAGGCCCTCTCATGCTGGAGGGGTAGGTGGTAAAGGGGACGGTGTCTGTCCCATGCCATCATGCTGCCCCAGAAACTCACTGCCCATCGTTTTTGGTTAACAGAGCCAAGGACCAGGCAGTGATGCTGCAGCCAGGGCAGGTGGGGAGAGGGGATTTGTCAAACCACACCAATGATTTCTTTCCCCCCTCCTCTTTTTTTTCCCCCTTGGTTTTGTTTTCCTTTGTGATACTTGAATTTATTTTTTTAATTTTTTTTTTTTTGATAGCAAAGCGCTCTTTATTTATTTAATGTATACTTCAAAGCTTGGAGAGAAGGGTAGTTACTTGGGAATTTTTTTTTGGATTTGTGGTATGTTAACTGTTCTGTATATATGTCTGGAATAATTGCCTGATATAAAGCTGTGCCAGCTTAAAAACAGGGTATGCCTTTCAGAAATTTGTATATTTTGCAGTTGCTGGACCAATAAAATATCTTGAAATACAGATGTGACCTGGTTCTTCCTTACGTTAGGAATTATGCTCTCGGGCCCATCTCACATGCTGCTGGGTGACCTACCTTGCACATATGTTCCTGTGCCTCAAATCCCTCCTGATCCCGCAGTGGGTTTTCTGGGGATCATTTCCAAGGGAAACCATTTGGATCCCATGGCATGACTGTTTTTCTTCTGATCATGTTACAGCAATTTTGAAGAGCTTGTCAATGGAGTTGAGGGTGTCATTCTTCTACCCAAGTGTTGGCACCTACTTAGGGCAAGTGAATATTCCCACAGGCTCTACCCACTACATTGATGTTGAGTATAAAGGTGAGTATGATTATGTCTTGCCTAGATCTTCATCTAGGCTGCAAGCTAGACAGGACTAGGCATTTATTCAAACCTAGTACAGTTCTTGAAACCAAATACCTGATTAAAATTATTTGGTGCTAAATGAAGCTGAAGGGCTGGACAAGATCTGTCCTCTGGAGATCATGGCTGTCTTTGCCTGAAGGCAGGAAAACAGGGGATGCCACCTGCAAGAAAAGTTCTAAAATTCCCTGCGAAGTTAGTTGGTTTTTTGTTTTGTTTGTTTGCTTGTTTGGGTGGTGGTGGGTTTTTTTTGTTTGTTTTTTTTTTCTGGTTCCAGAGAAAAAGAGATGGAGAAGGCAGGGAAAGGTTTAATTTAGATGTGATGCTCTGGAGCATATCTCCAAGCTCCCCATGTGCTTGGAGGCTCATCTCCCTTGAACAGTTGTGCCTCTGAAAGCTTGTTAGTAAAGAAAGGGGAGAAAAAAAAAGGTGTGGACCACTGTGTACTCAAGCTCATCTCTGCACAACAGCCAACAGCAGCTAACCACAGCCCTTGCTCAAATCTTCCATGGGTTTTTGGAGCAGGTTGAGCCTTGCTTTGGGCTGGGGTTTGCTGTGATGAAACTGGGGTGAACAGGGGCTGTCTGTCTTCTCCCTTCTGATGGCTCTGTGCAGCAGGGCCTCTCACTAGGGAGAGGGGGATCTGATTTTAAGTTTGATTAAGGCATGTGCAATAACTTTTCTAGGAGTGCATGCAGGCATGTGGAGCTCTAGGGCAACACTCATCCCTGCAAGCATGCTAGGGGCAGGGAGGACCCATGCGCTTGGGGAAAGCCAGAAACCAGAATTTTTTTTTTTTTTTTTTTTTAATCTCCAGCAATCCTGGTTGTCTCTTTCACCCAAACAGAGACGAGACACTCCTGCCCTATTTTAGGGCAGGGAGCACAACCTTGCAGAGTGTCCTGTGAGGATGTGGGGGCTTTGATAACACCAGCAGCTGCGGTGGGCTGAGATTAGGTATAGACACAACAGCAGTGCTGCTCCCCTGCCTTCCCTGGGTGGCCAAGGGTTGTCTTCAATCTGTGATAACCTTGTCCTTGCCAGGGGAGCACAGGGTTTGCCGCCTCCTGGAACGTGGCTGTGGGCAACGTTTTCAAGGCTGCTCTGCAAGTAAACGCCCCCTCCAAAAAAGCCTTTTCTCCTCATTCTGCATGCAGGGGGCACGATGGGGCTTGTATCATACTGTTGATGCAGGAGAGTCGTGTAAGTGAGGGGTGTTCATAGGCCAGTGTCATCCCAGGCAGCATCCTTTATTTTTCTTCCATGTGATGCATTTTGTAGCATCACAGAGAGAAGATGTTCCTCAAGGCAGGATGGTTTTAAAGGTTATACTTGACAGCGGGAACATTTCACTGCCCCCGGTCAAGTCCCATTTTCATTAAAAACAACAAAAAAAAAAAGTAAAACCCCAGCTCACTGCTGGCAAACAAGGGTAGAGAACTTGTGATTGCTAAAAAAAAAATAAAAAAGGACAGACTAGTCACGCTGGCTGACTCAGCTCTGATTGATGGCTCAGGAACGTGTCTGATATGTGCAAGGGATTAAATAAACCATGGGCAAACCTTTACAGTGCAACATGTTGGACGGAGTGCAACCGGCACCCTGCTCACCTGCCTCTGGCTGGGGAGTGACTGCCATCGTGTCATGGGATTGGATGGTTTTCTGTTTGTTTTGGGTTTTTTTCCCTACATGCACAAAAAAATAAATAGGTATTTTGGAGCACCGCTTTGCAAGGGGAAATAACTTGATACTTGTGGCCCTAATAGAAATTTGCAACAGCTCCAGGTATCTAAATGCATTTGTGCATTTTTGCTACAATTAACACGTCCTGTGAAGGCACGTATTTCTACTGCAATATGGAACATTTATTTTGCAGCTCTGCACAGGCTTGTGTAAATCCCAGTCTTGCTGCTCTGTGCCCAAACCCTGCGAAGTGTCAGGGTCCCT